TATATATTTTTTTTTTTTTTTATAATTAATGCAATTAATAAAATCAACTATATATTTAAGATTTTTTTATTTTTTTAGTTTTTCACACATATTTATATAGTTACATTTTATTAATAATAAGTACATAACATACATAAGTTATTATTTAAAAATATAATATAACAATATTATATACAAAATATTTCATTTGTTTTTCATTTTAATGTCTCTATATAACCCATACATGACAAAAAAATTATTAAATGTTAAAATAAATTAATTTCATGTAATATAATATAGTAATAATAATAATAATAATAAATATCTATAAATAAGAAAAATGTAAAACACATGGCTATTAGTCATTGAAAATCAGTTGGCCACATTTTTCAGTCTGTGTTCAAGCATTACCTGTTAGCATTGCAGCGATGGTTAGCATCTCGCTAGCACAGTCAAACTCGCAGGACGCTAACAGAGCCTTCGCCATCTGCGGATCCAGAGGAAGCTCTGACATGATGATGCCCATCTCAGACAGGTTTCCATCATTGTCCAAAGCAGCGAGATAATCGAGCTCCTCCAACGCCTGCATGAGGCCCTCGGGATCTGGAAGAGGAAATCAAAGCAAAAAACATGCAAACGTGTCCTTCTGTGACTTATTAAATGTGTTTAATGAAACAAGTGTGGGCAGTTGTCTCTGGTATTTCTAAAAATAAATCATTTGATGTAGACGGGCGGTTCTCCATGTTTCCACACTGACTGAGCCCTTCTCTTCCTGTGTATTGTGTCTATTTGGTCACTAACGAATTTCTCTCTTTCTCCTCTGAGCTTCCCACCGTCCAAACAGTGACCAGAAACAACGAGTGTCAAGAGCTGTCAGTTCAGCAAATGCACACATGACCGAATGCCAGTCAGAAACCAGAAACCCATCCATACACCTTCAAAATAGCAACAATTACAGACTTTACAGACTAAACCTGCCGCGTTCATGAAGAATTCTAACTTTTAGGTGATCTATCAATGGTGTTTATTATGGAAGCTTAGATAAAAAAATAAAACTGAACAAAAAAAGATAATTCTGACTTTTTCCCTTTGCAATTCAGAACTGGAAGATATAAACTCAGAATTGTGAGATATATAAACTCAGAATCGCGAGATTTTGTGAGATAAAAACTCAAAATTGCGAGATATAAACTCAGAATTAGTGTTGTCAAAAGTAAAAAAAAAAAAAGAAAACGTTACGGTACCAGGTTTTTATATTAAACAGAATTGTGAGATTTGGTAAAATATAAACTCAGAATTGCGAGATATAAACTCAGAATTACGAGAAAAACTCAGAATAAACTCAGAATGGTGAGATATAAACTCAGAATTGAGAGGTATAAACTCAGAATTGCGAGATATAAACTCAGAATTATGAGATATAAACTCAGAATTACGAGATATAACCTCAGAATTACGAGATATCAACTCAGAATGGTGAAATATCAACTCAGAATTACGAGATATAACCTCAGAATTACGAGATATCAACTCAGAATGGTGAAATATCAACTCAGAATTACGAGATATAACCTCAGAATTACGAGATATCAACTCAGAATGGTGAAATATCAACTCAGAATTACGAGATATAACCTCAGAATTACGAGATATCAACTCAGAATGGTGAAATATCAACTCAGAATTACGAGATATAACCTCAGAATTACGAGATATCAACTCAGAATGGTGAAATATCAACTCAGAATTACGAGATATAAACTCAGAATGGCAAGATATAAACTCAGAATGGCGAGATATAAACTCAGAATGGAGAGGTATAAACTCAGAATCGCGAGATATAAACTCAGAATGGCAAGATATAAACTCAGAATGGCGAGATATAAACTCAGAATTGCGAGATATAAACTCAGAATTACGAGATATAAACTCAGAATTACGAGATATAAACTCAGAATTACGAGATATAAACTCAGAATTACGAGATATAAACTCAGAATTACGAGATATAAACTCAGAATTACGAGATATAAACTCAGAATTACGAGATATAAACTCAGAATTACGAGATATAAACTCAGAATTACGAGATATAAACTCAGAATTACGAGATATAAACTCAGAATTACGAGATATAAACTCAGAATTACGAGATATAAACTCAGAATTACGAGATATAAACTCAGAATTACGAGATATAAACTCAGAATTACGAGATATAAACTCAGAATTACGAGATATAAACTCAGAATTACGAGATATAAACTCAGAATTACGAGATATAAACTCAGAATTACGAGATATAAACTCAGAATTACGAGATATAAACTCAGAATTACGAGATATAAACTCAGAATTACGAGATATAAACTCAGAATTACGAGATATAAACTCAGAATTACGAGATATAAACTCAGAATTACGAGATATAAACTCAGAATTACGAGATATAAACTCAGAATTACGAGATATAAACTCAGAATTACGAGATATAAACTCAGAATTACGAGATATAAACTCAGAATTACGAGATATAAACTCAGAATTACGAGATATAAACTCAGAATTACGAGATATAAACTCAGAATTACGAGATATAAACTCAGAATTACGAGATATAAACTCAGAATTACGAGATATAAACTCAGAATTACGAGATATAAACTCAGAATTACGAGATATAAACTCAGAATTACGAGATATAAACTCAGAATTACGAGATATAAACTCAGAATTACGAGATATAAACTCAGAATTACGAGATATAAACTCAGAATTACGAGATATAAACTCAGAATTACGAGATATAAACTCAGAATTACGAGATATAAACTCAGAATTACGAGATATAAACTCAGAATTACGAGATATAAACTCAGAATTACGAGATATAAACTCAGAATTACGAGATATAAACTCAGAATCGCGAGATATAAACTCAGAATTGCGAGATATAAACTCAGAATCACGAGGTATAAACTCAGAATTGCGAGATATAAACTCAGAATTGCAAGATTTTGTAAGATATAAACTCAGAATAGCGAGATACAAATTCAGTTTTGCAAGTTTATAAACTCAGTCCAAATTATGTCGAACTGTAAGATAAACTCACAATTACAAGAAAAAAGTCACATTTGTGAGATACATTTTTTTTTTAATTCTGTGGCGAAAACAAAAATCAGAATTGCAAGATATAAACTTAGAATTCTTAGTTTACTTAAAACAAAATAGAGTTAAAATTTCTGGTAATGGTTTTCAAGTCCATTAATAACCACGCTCCATCTTATCTTGCAGACCTCCTTGTAAGACATGTTCCCTCTAGATCACTTAGATCCAGTGATCTGGCACTCTTAACAGTGTCTAGAACTAGATCTAAGCACAAGGGGGATCGTGTGTTCGCGGCGGTCGGTCCAAATCTGTGGAATAAGTTGCCACTAGCTATTAGAACGGCACCGACTCTGGCTATTTTTTACTCTCTATGGCATTTTAAAATGGGTGGTGCTTTATGATTGTATTAGTTTTAACGTTATTTATTATTATCATGGTGATGTATTATCTTCTGTGTTCATCTTGTAAAGCACTTTGGATAACCAAGTTGTATTTATACAGTGCTATATAAAGAAAGAAAGAAAGAAAGAAAGAAAGAAAGAAAGAAAGAAAGAAAGAAAGAAAGAAAGAAAGAAAGAAAGAAAGAAAGAAAGAAAGAAAGAAAGAAAGAAAGAAAGAAAGAAAGAAAGAAAGAAAGAAAGAAAGAAAGAAAGAAAGAAAGACAAGATTTGTTTTTTAAAAAGCCTTTTTCCAAAAGGTACATCTGGAAAAAGGGGGGGTCAATATTCAGGCCAATACGGTAATTATGTTTGGACTGCTCAAATACATTTGCAAAACGGTGAACTTTTGATTCGAAAAGCTACAAAACCAACAACGAACGCAGTAAAGAAAAGCAGGTTTCCAGCACACTCACTAATCTCTTTTCTACTCCAGTATCGATGACAAAAGTAACGGTGTCCACCGACCAGAACAGATCCTCTGATTGGCTACAGGAAACGAAGACCCGCCTACTCGTCTGTGGACTTTCTGCGATTGGTGGACACATTCTGGAGTATCCAGGACACAGGGGGACCGCGAGCAGCTCTCCCAGAGATGCACTCATCCTGGACGCTTCTTTAGTGAGAATATTACAGGCACAGAGCACCTCCTGAAACACACACACACTTTTGTTTCACCACCGGAGAGAAAGTTGTTTAGTGCACTTCTCGCAGACTTTTGATTTTGCATTTGTGAATTCGAAAGTGCAGAAAAAATACAAGAGATTAATTTTGCAGTGCAGACTGCAGCTTCAGTGATTGTAACAGGATTTTTCCGCAAAATAACTGTTTTGTTTTTCATGCTACAAAGGGTCTTGATTTTTTTAATCTGTACAAAGCAACAAACAAATCCATAAACAGCTGTTAGCTTGTTTTGTCTGTCAAAATATGACTGCTTTTATATTGCTTTTCCCCCACAAAATTATTAGAATATCAAGAGCAATAATCAACAGTAATTTTGTTATGATATAGCAGCTTCACCATCGAATGAGTTACTGTTTTTTAATTTATAGGCTATTTACTGTACATTATGCAATTTTTGCACAAATACATGTACATGAACAACATTAAACAGTCTGTGTAAATATACACGCTCCATGTCAGATGCAGCTTCTGTTTCATATTGTGATTGATTGAAGTAACTAGTTAAATCTAAGTATTTGGCATTAATGTGATTTTACAGGGCAGAGTGTCAGTAAGAGTGGACGTATTCATTCAGACACTGCTGACCGTGCTGAACACAACAATGTCATTGTCATCATGGAGAACATTGTGTTAGTGCTGCTCACTACAGCAAGCATCACTATTGCTACTGCTAAAAGTTACGATTATTTGGACAACCTCCAACCCCATTTTCTGTGCACAACTAGTTCCCTTGTTGGTGTGCTGTTAGAAAATGTACTTGAAGATGGGACTCATATTTACACACAGAATATCACAGACACATCTAACTGTGAACAGTAGTGACAGTAAAAACATTTATAATGTACAAAAGATTGCTATTTCAAATAAACGCTGTTCCACTGAACTCTCTATTAATAAAAAAACATATCACAGTAAGTTTCAACAAAAACATGTAGCAGCAAAATTGTTTTCAACATTGATAATAATCAGAAATGTTTCTTAAGCAGCAAATCAGCATATTAGAATGATTTCTGAAGCATCATGTGACACTGAAGACTGGAGTAATGATGCTGAATATTTTGCATCACTGGAATTAATTACATTTTACACTATATTCAAATAGAATACAGCTGATTTCAACTGCAAAATTATTTCACAATATTACTATTTTTATTGTATTTTTGCTCAAATAAATGCAGCAGTGGCTGAGGCTTTTTTCAAACACAAAAACGTTTGAACATTAGTGTACCAATTAACACAAATGCTCTTACCTATTTGATCAGTGATCTGGATGCACTCACTCACGCATTCATTCATTCATTCACGCATTCATTCATTCACTCACGCATTAATTCACGCATTCAATCACTCACGCATTCACGCATTAATTCACGCATTCATTCATTCACTCACGTATTAATTCACGCATTCATTCATTCATTCACTCACGCATTAATTCACGCATTCATTCATTCACTCACGCATTCATTCATTCATTCACTCACACATTCATTCATTCACTCACGCATTCATTCACGCATTCACTCTTTCATTCACTCACGCATTCATTCACGCATTCATTCATTCATTCACTCACACATTAATTCACTCATTCATTCACTCACGCATTAATTCACGCATTCACTTATTCATTCACTCACATATTCATTCACGCATTCATTCACGCATTCACTCATTCACTCACGCATTCATTCACTCATTCATTCACTCACGCATTAATTCACGCATTCACTCATTCATTCACTCACACATTCATTCATTCATTCACGCATTCATTCACTCACACATTCATTCATGCATTAATTCACGCATTCATTCATTCACTCACGCATTCATTCACGCATTCACTCATTCATTCACTCACGCATTCATTCACGCAGTCACACATTCATTCATACATTCATTCATTAAATATTCACTTTTAGTGTCAATACTCAACTCTCCAACTCTTGGATCATTCCAGGTTAACGCTGGTTAATTGTCCAGATAATTTATGCTTGCATTATTGCTACAATAAATTGCAATGCATAAAAGTTCACGAGCTGTTCTAATCCACTAATGCACTTCATCTCACCTGCTCTGAAGCTAGAAACACAGCTACGTCTCCTGGCTCTCTGGACCGATGGACCTCCAGCGCGAGTCTCAGAGCCGAATAGAAGCTTTCAGCGCTGCTGCTGTTGCTGTGGATCACTTCCCCAGCGCACGGGGCGTCCAGGTGCAGGCGTGAGACGTTCCCGTAGTGTATGAGGAGCGTGTCAGAAGCAGGCGGGGCGGACAGCACCACCACCCTGAGCTCGGGCCGCTGGAGAAGCACCTCTCTCAGCAGACTCAGCAGAACATCTGTGCTCACGGTCCTCTCGTGGGCCTGGTCTATCACCACCACCCCATAATGCTCCAGCATGGGGTCTGACATCATCTCCCGCAGCAGGACGTCATCAGTGCAGTACCTGCAACCAGAATGTCGTTTTGGTTTTGACATTTATATACAGATGTAGAAAGATGCACATACATACAAAAACTTGAACTCTACAATGTATTATTGGTGACCTATTCAACAAAACCACATGAAAAAAAACAGATGCATCAAAATAAAATAAATTAAAAAATTAAATTAAATGAGTTTAAAATATATTTTTCTTTTTTACATTTTTAAATATGTTTTGACAAGACATGTTTCTATAATAAAATAAAATAAGACAATTAATTAGACAGATGTCTCTATAAAATACATTCAAATATGGATTTTTCTTTTCTTTTGTTTTTATTTATATGTTAATAGACATTTGACTAGACATATTTCTATAATAAAACATTTAATTAGACATTTCTTTATAAAAGAACATATGGATTTTCTTTACCTTTTATTATGCTTTTTTATTGATATGTTTTAGACATTTGACAAGACATATTTCTATTATAAAATAAGACATATTTGATTAGACATTTCCTTATGAAATAAAATAAAATATAGATTTACAGATTTCTTATGTTCTTGTTTTTTATCAGCATGTTTTAGCCATTTGATTAGACATTTCATTTATAAAATAAAATAGGATTTTTATTTATTTTATCATGTTCTTTATTGATATGTTTTAGACATATTTGACTAGAAATATTTCTATAATAACCAAATAAATCATTTGATTAGACATGTCTTTATAAAATAAAATAAAACTAAAAGGATGATTTTTTTTTGTCTGACAGGTTAATCATCAAGTACAATCACTTAGAAAGTAATAGTAAACTTCTCAATAAATTACAGGATTTAAGGTATCAATGAATATTGCTGAATATTATATTTTATTTTAAAATATAATATCATTCAAAACACTATTATTTGGTAAAATCCCCCCCAAAAACACACACATTCTGGCAGAGATTATTCAGCAGTGCTTCGACACTGGTGGACATGCCCCTATCCTCAACACCAAAGCAAGAGACAGATAAATGCCTCCCTGACCTCCACTGAGCCCGTTTATAATAAAGCAAAAAGACCTCAAGTATTTCAAACATTTCAGAAGACGGCACATTCTTCTCATACTTTAGCTGGACAAACCAAAGCACAAAACTAAAATAAATATCACCAACTTGAAAACTTTTGGTGATAGTGAGCATTTCAGTGGGGTTTTCACACTTTTGAGGGCTGCATGCATGCGAGTTTCACACAGACCTGAGAATAGTATCATTGGAGCAGCACGTCTCCAGCGGGATGCTGTATCCAATCTCGTGGCCGATGTTTACGTCCATCTCGTCTGCAACACGGAGGGCCAAATCGACAGCCTGCCGTCTCTGGATCTGACTGCACACCACCACACCGTGCTGGTACTGCGCAGACAGACAGAACTCTGCACACCACTGAGGGATCTGAAGACGTGAACACATACTATCAGCACCTGGATGCATTCGATTACATTACAGAAGCCTTCAGAAAAAAAAAAATCAAATGAGACAATTTCAGTATCCTGTGGATGGCTTTCACAATCAGACCTGTCCTTGACTTGTTAAACAGCTGCAGGTTTAGACCTTCAGCCTGAGCAGTCTGGGGAAATCTCAACAGCATCTGTTGGACAGGCAGGTCGGGTGAACTGAACAGATGCAAGCTTCCTATTTCCACTTAACACACAATGCACACGCATCCGCACAATATGCAAAATTTGACTTAATGCCAAATTGACACTGATCTGTAACCTTTCAGATGATAAAACATGAAAAAAAAAATCACATCACTTTTTATTTATTTATTTTTTTTATTCTTATTTTACTCTATTTTTTTGGGGGGGTGGATCTGTTTTTTTAATTTAAATAAGACATATTTGATTAGATAATCAACAAGACAATCAACTTTATATTATAAATATATATATATGTATATTCGATCAGCAGTTGAACATGGGTCAGTCGGTATATATATTAATAAATAAAATGTAAAATAATTTATATTTCATTATTAAATATGTCTAGTCAAATATATCTAAAACATTTTTTAAAAAGAAAAAGAATATAAGGAAATGTGTCTAATCAATTGTTTAGCCAATTTAATGTCTAGTCAAATATGTCTAAAAACTTTAATGAAAGCATAAAAGAAAAAAAAAATCTATATATTATTTTAAAATAAAATGTCTGATCAAATGTCTAATTTTAATTTGATTTCATTTAATAAAAAATGTCTAATCAAATATGTCTTATTTTAAAATCCATCAAAAATATAAAAATAGAGCAAAATAAGAATAAAATAAAATAATAATAAGAAAAATTGATGGGATTTTTTCATGTGTTTTATTATCTGAAAGTAAAGTACAGATCAGTTCTTAATAAGTATTACTTGTTTTCCAGTATCCTGACATTCTTGAATTGCAAAATTAGGTATCAAGATATTATTTTAAGATATTTATATATTGAGAAGAAAAATATTTTGATCTGTTCTGTCGGCAGATTTTTGTCACTTGTTTACCCTACACTACCAGTCAACATTTGGAATAACTATTATGACTTTTAAAATGTTTTTGAAAGTAGTCTCATGCTCGCCAAGGCTGCATTTATTTGATCAAAATACAGAATTTTTTTTTATGAAATATTATTACAAGCTTTTCTATATGAATATTTTGTACGATGTCATTTATTCCTGTCATGCAACTCCATGACCCTTCATTCCAAACTTGGTGTAAAACTAAATAAATGTATTATTTCTTATTTTCTAAAAGCATTTTCTTTTCTTTTACAATGGCTAAACTCAAATGATATACAAATGAAAGCAGAGACTGAACACACCATCATCAGCTGAATGCACACTATTTGTTCACAGGATTCAACACAATGGCTGCAGCTGACTCACGGCAAACAGTCTTTCATGATACAGAACTGATGAGCTCACTTTAAATGACTAGAAAAGTATATTTGCACAGATTTAAGACTTCATGATCAGGCCACATGACTACAAAACTGCAGCGCTGAAACTCATATCATGTACAGGCACTGGCAAAACTGTTTAATCTATTATTATGTTCAATTTCTAGAACGTATGGAATCTGAATTGAATTAGATGTTGAATGGAGGAATTTACTGACTAATTAAATACAACTGAGTCTAATACAAGCTTGGCAACAAGACATGAATAATAATTATATCATTAATATGGGTTCATTACGGCTAATTATTCCAAGATGTGTACACTGTAAAAAATAAGTGTAATTTTAACTGTAAAATGTTGTAAAAACGCTACGGGAAAAAACTGTTAATAGGTTAACAGTAAGTTCCCGTACTATATACAGGGAAAAACTGTAAAATTTCTAACCAGACATTTCATGTACTTTTACAGTAAAATGCTGTTAATTTGACAGTTTTTAGAAGTAAAAATAACAAATCAATGTATTATTTACAGTCAAAAACTGTAAACTGATATTCCCAGAATTCCCTGCATGACACTCCACATTTGAAAGTATTTTGTTTAAATAATCAAGTTTTTAAAAAAAGTTTATGTTATTAGTTATGTATATTTGGGCTTTATGTTACATCTTCTGTTGTTTAATGAAAGTTGAACGCATTATTTAAGTATCATGTGTTTTGTGTTTGCATGAATGACTCTGTGCACCTTCTATATATCAGTATATACTTCTGCTCGTGGCGAAGCTGCTTGTGATGAGCTTTGATTCTTCATGTGGCTTTCTCTTTTACCACCTGCATTATTATGGTGGTTGTCAGTATGTTAAAGGTACAAAACAGATTTTAATAGCAGAGTGCATTGTTGAATTTACTGGTTTACATTCAAAATTTCTTGTTTGTAAATTACAGTTTTATACTGTAAAATTTAAAAACCACAGGTGCCAAAATTATTTTGTAAAAACTACAGAATTTTTTTTACAGTGTAGACCAGGCCTCTATCGCAATTAATTAGGCATAAACACACGATTATCCAGACTTTAATTTGCACAAAGCGACACTAATAAAACAATACAACAACTACCAACAATATACAACTGTGACAGGCCTCAGTTTTGCTCAATAGCATATTGATCTCCATAGCAATGAGGAGCTTATCAATTAAAAGCAAAGCTAAAAGATCAAGCTCTCAAACTCTGCAGTGTTCATGGCAGCTTATGTTTCTCCAGGCTATTTTTAGTGCTTCTCAAACATTATTTAGAGTGCTGAAGTTAAAACAGACGCTATATTTACACACTTTCTTAAGATTCTCCTCAAATCTGAGGTGTCTCGTCTTTTTGCATTTCAACACCAGGCAAATCACTGGCATATTCCAGATGTACATAGCTTGAACCTATTAAACAGTTTAGACATCTGTCTGGCATCTTACCAACAGCAGCAAAAAGTGGTAGAAACTTGATAAATAAGCATGCACACATCTCATAAACTCACCTGTGTGCTTTTGCCAGTCTTTGCTGTGCCTGAGACTATAAGAATCGGATGGTTTTCCAGCAAAGTCATGAATTCATGTCTGTATCTCCAAACAGGCAGAGTTTTCCTCTCCTGCAGGAGTCTGTAGTATCTGGAGGAATGTGGCAGTCCATCAAACTGGTTGAGCTCCAGATCATCTCCAAACTCAAACAGATCATCAGATTCCTCCTCTCTCTTGAGCTCTCCTTCTGAGAGCTCGCTGTTTGCAGCCATAATGAGCAGCTGCGCGCGTGAGGTTATTGTAATAAGTTCATAAACCGAGCAAAACACCCTTAAAACCTCCGTGAAGCTGGATATGCGTGCGTGTGTGCTGGAAATCCCACGATACTGAGAAGAACAGCTGCATGCTCTCTTGTGCGCATGACGCGCCCGTTTAATCCATAGACATAATACATACTTTATTATGAGTATGGGTTAATCCAGTTAATTCATCGGGCTGCGCGTGAGCACATATACAAAACAAAACAGAGCTAAAATTCCAACATCATCATATTTTAATGTGATAACATGCCCAGCAAATACAGTTGATATGTATTTAACTGTTTATTAATAAGGATGGAGATATTCGTGTTTTTTGTTTTTTTTTAAGTAACTTTACTATTAAGTAAAGATCGTGTTCCATGAAGATATCTGGTAAATGTCCTACCGTAAATATATCAAAACTAATTTTTGATTAGTAATATGCATTGCTAAGAACCCTCAGATTCCGGATTTTCAAAAAAAATTGTATGTCGGCCAAATACTGTCCAATCCTAACAAACCACACATCAATGGAAAGCTTATTTATTCAGCTTTCAGATGATGCATAAATCTCAGGCTCCCAAAAAAATGGACAGTTATGACATTCGACACACTTCACATGTCATGACAGCCGTTGCTATAGCAACAATAGCGATTCATCCCATCAAATCATTACTTCTTCAGCTGGATCGATTTATTTGTTGATTTCAGAGTTCATATTGTAAATGGACCCTGCAGGTAATACGCATCTGACCCTATATTTACTATAGGTATTTCATTTGTAGTTTAATAATCTGTAGGTGTTTATTATATAGATGTGTTTATAACACCTTAAACGGAATAATCATAAAACATTGTCCCAGTCATTCTGGTATTGTTGGTGTCGGCTAGTGGTGAGTGCTGAGGGCTGATGTGTCCAGCAGGTGAGCGGCAGAGCTCCGGGGGGTTGGCGGTAGGACAGGTGAGTCATCACAGCATTGAGCTCACCTGGACACGGGAGAACGACACGAACTGGACCGACGCGCCGAGAAACTGGACCTGCTTCATCTTGGAACAGAAGAACGACATAAAACACACATATAAAGAGATACATAAGTGAATTATGCGACTTAGCAAACTATACCCATTATTTAACAGGAGATGTGAATAATATCCTCCTTATTTTGCAACGCGAAAGTAAGCTAGCTATTTTTATTATTATTATTATTTTGTGAATCACTTCCGATTCATTAGCCGCATAATCGGAATAATAGGCTAACTGAAAGTGCAGTAAACGGTCAAACAGTGTGAGCTACAAATCCGTGTGTTTTTTATTATGATAATAAATGAAAATAAAGTGAATGATGCCGGAAAATCCGTGTACCATTCTCGTTTTTTGATTTAATATTGAAAGTAGAAAAATGTGAAAACTGAACCTTTTTCGTTTTTTTTTGTTTTTTTCCAAAAAAACGAAAAACGAGAATTCATTTCCTTCATGGGTGGAAAAAATAATAAACAGTTTGAATATTTGACTTCTACATGTGGGCGGGAATTAAACGCCCCTTTCTGCTGATTGGTCAGCCGAAGATCAAACCGTGCCGTCATCAGTTCTTCTGCAGTATCATGCAACAGAATAATAGTCCTCCACTGCTGCAGTTATACGGATTAATAACCCATTTGATCAATTTCATATTTTTCTCATCAAACAGACTAATGAATAGCTCGACACAACTCGCATCCGGGCAGAGTCTAGACAGGTATTTCTTCTGTGTAGACCAGTGGTTCTTAAAGTGATAGGGGGTCCGAGAAATAATTTGCTATAGCCTAAAGTATTTCCAGACTGTAAAGTCGCTTTTTTTTATCATGATACATAGGCCTACTGTACTTTATTCCAAAGTGACTTATATGATGCATTTAACGTCAAATAATCTAAATGAAGCCTTTTAAAAGACGAGTATTCCCTGTGGTTCATGTTAGTGGCATGCGCCAGAAAGATGCTCAAGGAGACCGAGACCCGCTAAAGCAGCGCATTCTGTTGTTCTCTTTATTTTTCAAAGGCATGACATTTTGTAGCTATTTTGAGCGTAACGTTACACAATTAAAATATACATTTTACCATAGGACTATAAATGACAGAGTATTAAGTTATTTCCCCTCGATGGGGAAAAAAATCCAAGTGAACTTCAATCAGTACTCAATATTAATTTAAACTGCTTTATTTCCTGTGCACTTCTGCGCTTGACTGTGGTCGCGTCTGTCTGCTTATTGAGTTTATTTAACCCATCGCAATTTTTTGGATACTGATAACTCTAACAGTAGGCTTAATATCTGCTGTTCTCCGGTTGTCAGTCAGAATGACAGTTCTTGCGTGAACATAGGCCTATATATACCCAAGCCAATTTATTATTCTTTCCTTTTTGTCTTAGTGTTTAAAATATTTATTGCTTAATTAATTAAACAAACATACTTACTGGGTGAGCAGGCTAGGCTATGACAGCTGTCATATTATACCCTGCCATGCCCAGCTGATGCAAAGAATATAATTATCTACACAGAAGAAAGCCCTGTCTAGACTCTGCCCTGGTATGAGTTGTGTCGAGCTATTCGTTAGCCTGTTTGTTTGATGAAAAAAGATTAAATGTAGTTGCAATAAATGCGTTAAGAATCCGTACAACTGCAGCAGTGGAGGACTATTATTCTGTTGCATGATACTGCAGAAGAACTGATGACGGCCCGGTTTGATCTTCGGCTGACCAATCAGCAGAAAGGGGCGTTTAATTCCCGCCCACATGTAGAAATCAAATATTCAAGCTGTTTATTCATTTTTCCACCCATGAACGAAAAACGAACATTTAAGCTGAATTTTCGTTTTTTTGGATGAGCCGTTTTCTCATTTTTCTACTTTCAATATTAAATCAAAAAATGAATGATCGAATGATACACGGATTCCGGAAGCCGCGAACATTCAAGTCACAAATGGACCCGCGCTTATGTTAAAAATAAGGTGGATAGAAGACTTATAATGCATATTTCGTCTCCTAAAAGAATAACATGTAGATGTTAAACAGTTCTTGGTTAGTTGTGAAAATCTGGCTGTATTTTCTGGATGTTTATGGCCTGTTTAGAGGGTACAACACACGGTTCACGGTGGAGAATCTAGAACCGAAGACCACCTACACGTTCAGACTGAAGGTCACGTGGCCGTCTGGTCAGCAGTGCTATTACCCATCAGTCTCTGCTTCTACAGAAAGTAAGGACACAACATGACACACAGACAAAACTCGACTTCAACACATTCAGTTAGTTACTGTATGATATTTTATTTTATGAGAATCAAATTATTTGTGCTGCACGCAGTTTGTTGTGAAGTACAGATTTTTTTCTGTTAGAAATACAGTGTAAATAAATGCTTAATGAGTGCAAATGTAATATTAAAATAAACATTATGGTAATGCAGTTTGAAAGTCAGTGGGGGGTGGGGGGCAGCCCTGCATACAGTCTCTCTTTGTATAGTTTAGGTACAAAATTGTCCTGAAAGGGAACTAAATCTGACAAGCCTTCTTTAGGGACATTTGCAGACTCCCTCAGTTGGAAAATAAATGTAATTAAATGTAACTAAATCTAATAAAGGTGTGTGTGTGTGTGTGTGTTCCTCAGAGGAGCCTCTGAACGGGAGGAATCTTCACAACGCAGTCCTCAGGAGTGATGAGCTGGAGCTCTGTCGAGTGCTGCAGTCCATGTGAGATTCATTCAGACTTCATTCAACATTTACATCAATTTAGTTAAAGAGTTAGTGTTTTTTCATTCAAAAAACATTAATTTACTGTATGCATTTGGCAGATACTTTTATCCCAAAGGACTTCTAGTGAAGCCCCCCAAGATATTTCTGGTGCTTTTGCTGTAGTGACAAAGCTTTTTTTTTTTTGGCAATTTACTAAAATTAATTAAATGTTAACATTTTTCTTTACATTTGAATAATTATGATCACAACATGCCTTAATCGTGTTCATCGTTTCTGCTTGAATACAAACTGCATGATTTGTATTATCGTATAACTGTACATTTCTGCCATATGGACATTACTTTGACAGTCACCTTTGATAACAAATGACTCTTAACTGTAATGTAGAAACATGAATCTCCTGCAGAGCCTCTTTGAAAAGATATCTTGAAAAGCATTATACAAATAAATGTGAATAAATATTTAAATCATCAGGGTTCACACCAGTATTATTTTAATACCAATGAGATACAACTATACTTTTAATTATTTTTAAATGTTTTTCCTTTTTATGTTGTTCATTTTCATTTTAGTTAAAGTTTTAGCGATTTTGATTATTTGATTAGTCATTTTTATTAGTAGTATTTTTAATCTCTATCTCTCTCTCTCTCTCTATATATATACTGTATATATATATATAAATGTATTTATTTTCAGTTTTAGCTATTTTAGGACATTAAGTTAAACCAAATAGAAATGAAAATGTTATTTGATGTGTTCTGTTAGAAAAGTCACAGTGGATGTTCCTGACAAGTTGGACTTTACTCCTCTGATGGTGGCGGTGATGAAGGGCTTTACTAGGTATCTATCTATCTATCTATCTATCTATCTATCTATCTATCTATCATCTGTCTGTGTCTGTCCATCTGTCTACCTGTCTGTCTGCCTATCTAGCATGTGTTTTGCCTTCTAGTGGAGTTCAGATTTTGGTCCGTCATGGTGCAGATGTCAACAAAAAAACCAACAGTGGCAAAGACAGGTTAGCTTTTCTTCCAGTGCTACCAGCTCTCTTATGGAACTCTTGTGATATGATCCAGGGACATTTTCATCAACTAATGCTAAAGAAAAAAAAATTAATTTGTAATAACATTTGTTTAGTTTATCTTAAGGTACTAAAATAACTCAACCTGAAACTAAAATAACAAAAAACTGTATAGACAGTATTTTAAAAGAACAAAACTAGGGTAATAAAGACTAATAAAACTACATAGTATATCAGTGATACTACATTAACACTGGTGTGCACCTGTTGTGTGTGTGTGTGTGTGGTGAATCAGCCTGATGCTGGCATGTTTCCACGGGCACCTGGATGTGGTGCAGTTCCTGCGCAGCTGCGGGGCGTCCTGGAGCTCTCGGGACGGATCGGGCTCCTGCGCTCTGCACTGGGCCGCAGCTGGAGGACACCTACCTGTCCTGCACCACCTCATGCAGGACGGGTGTGAGGTCAGAGGATGATGAACATCAGTGTTTGATTTTAGGTGTACCTGATTTACACCTCATAATGTTCTCCTGTGTCTCAGGTCGATGTGCGGGACGACGCCTCCTGGACGCCCCTCATGATCGTATCGGTTATGACCGGAGACACAGCTGTAGCTTCACTGTTAATCACAGCTGGTGCTGATGTTAATGTACAGGACAGAGACGGGAAAACACCACTGATGGTAAGAACTCAAACTGTGCTGTAACATCTCAGCATGTAATAAACCAATAAATGAGCAGGGGAGGTCAGGACTGACTAGTCAAGCAGACTTGACTTGACTAGTTGTCAAGCTTTTTACTGAAGTGCATATTTGTCACTCTAGGTTTATTCTTGTGTACTGTGTTGGCATTATATATATATATATATATATATATATATATATATATATATATAACACACACCATTATCGCCCAGAAAGAAA